TGGAGATTAGTGTTCCGACGTCTGAAGCTGAAACTTCTACTCCAGAGGCTGATGGTCTGATACTTACCGGGCGCCAATTGTGCTTATCATATAAATTGGTATCATAAGTACGGCAAATTTGGCGAAAACTACTTATCAGATAATTACACAGAATATTATCGTTGTGCACCTTGAAATAAAGAGATATGCGCAGCAGAATGTGTCATGACACGAGATTTGTATGCCGCAAGAAAAAAATTACTGCAAGGAAATTGTTACTCAAGCAATGAGATTCGAAATAAAAAAAATTAATTCCTTACGTAGGTTATGTGTAAACTCTTTCAAATGCTTCAGGTATAAAATAATGACAAAAATGTGTTAAGAAATGCAAGTAAGTAAAGGCAGCAAATATCAATGTAATACAGTTTTTCTCTTGTAGCATATCTTATTTGTTTAATCGCCCTAAAATTGTATCGGGTTCCTCTAATGAAATACAAGTAAAATGTATTTGTATTTAGAAAACTAGAAAGATATCCAGTAACAGCTGTGCGAAGCTCAAGTTGTCGAAATATTCCCTAGAAACCATGGAAATGCAGCTTCCTTCATATATGCTCTAATGCACGACCGACAATGTGTTGCTCTATTCGAGTGCTGATATTTCCTTTGGGGTTACCTCCAGTACGTCTCTATAGATTACCCCAGTAAATGTCACTTCCCTAATGAGTACATACAGTTGTAATAAGATCGTCACACACTTGTGAGTGCCGTCCTTTAGGCGGTTGAATGTCGTATCACTGTCAGAAATTTGTATAGGCAAGTAGCCGAGGGTTTGGTAATCTAATAACCAAGTGTTGAATTCTTGGGAATATTTTTTGACAATGTGAGATTTGCACAGCTGTTACTTCAAGCATTATTGCCTGCACTGTGTAGAAATTATTCACCGGATGGGAATCTGAACCGAAGTGAACGCACACTCGGAAAATTTCGTTTATGGTTGTATAATAGCACCGTATATCTTAATTTTGCGAGCAAATTCTGAAAAAAGGG